TTGTAATGCACTGCAGGACTACTACTAACTACAGTTGATATAACCTAGAAACTTCTATTTGTATATTTTATCTGTCTTTTGTTAATTTTTTATTTTTTTCTTTTTTGGAACAATAATCGAATATAGTGTTTATTGTTGCAAAGTGTAAACAAAACAAAATCTTATAAGCGTGAAAAGTAGAAGTCAATCAGTTATAAGTTTAATAATAATGGTTCAAAAATTCAAAATAATGAATCTAAATAGATAATTTAGTAGACCAATTATTATGCGTAATGTATATAAAAAAAGGTGAATGAAAGTGAAAGTTTGCGCCATGTACATGGTGGCCGTGGATCTTCTGCTCCACCTTTGGATACACAATTTTTTTTTAATGCTGCAATTGATTATTTAATTACTTTTGAGAATATAATTAAAAGTTAGACACAACAGAATGGACATGAAAGATTGTAATTTAAATTTTTCCTAGTAATAAATTATCCTCGTACTGATAAGGAGCCGATCGAGTATCATAATTATACTGTAAGTTGATGCACTCGAACTGACTGACCACATTTTTATCTCTATACACCCTCAATGAGTTTTAATCAATCATGAACCGCAAACTTTCGTTTTACTCAATGTTTTCACTGCTGTGGGTCGAATGAAAGTTTATAAATAAGGCAGGGATGCTATTTATTACTTATCACTTGCATAAAAGAAAAAAAAAAAAAAAAAGTAACACTGCAACAGGCAATCACAACAGAAAATTTTCACCAACACAACACAGAGAAAGCCACTATCGAGGGACGAAAATGAAGCAAGTATATTCACTGGCGTTGGCTCCTAAAATAAAACAGCGAAAAACCTCCACCGGGAGGCCGATAGCCGATACATCCTGATGACCACGATGACGATAAGTAACTATATACCTTTATAGAGTACTCGTCAAAATGTGCGGGCTGGGCCAAACTACATGTCAAAATAGAAAAAAAAGATTGACGAACAAGAGCAAGAGGAGAAGAAAAAAAACAAATAGGGTATTAAAGAAACGCCTTGTTTTCCTTATATGCTTATTGCTTACCCTGCGATGTCCCGCGAGTGCACCTACGTGTACGTACCAAGTTAAGTGCTTGGTGAGTGTGTAAATAATATAAGTACCTTCGGAGCGCCAGGAGTCGCATGTTAGTTAGCTGACCCTCCCCGAGGAAGCTCGTCATCGGCACGACGACGACGACGACGTCGATGACGCTGTTGTCGAAGTGCTTGACATCACATACACTAACTTATAGGCTAGTCTGCCTTGTGCCTGTACGGTACACTGCTTTATGCCGCTCTGGCTCTCTTTGCTCCACGGCCACGCTCCGTTCACTCCCTGTGTCACCCGTCGACCCGTGTCTCACACTTGTTACTTATCTCTCTTTTTCTTTGCACGATTAAACAGTGAATGTATACTTTAAGTTTTAAGAGTATTCTTTATCTTCTTTCTGCGGGTAGTGCGGGTGTGCAGGTTCTTAGTGATTTTATTTGTTGCCGATCTAGGGACTTTAGAGGCGTGAAAACCGCAAAAGCCAAAAACTAAAAATGAGTAGTGTCGTGTCGGTCAAGTCAAATCAGTGTCGGTATCAATTATAGTTATAAAGAAATTTCAGTCGGTCAATCAGGACGATTGTAAAATCAATTTAATTGTTATTGTATTTCCTTCAGTCTAAGTCTAACTGTTATAAATATTACCAATATGCCGATTATCACTCTCCTAATAAACTATCCCAAAGCTTTACCCTGATTAGCGTTTGCTGATGCTGACCATGCACCGATAATTGTATTTATATGAAATTAACCAATTTACATTAAAATCAAACATATTACTTACAGTTGCAAGTTCTATTTTACAAAAATTTTTTATTTATCCCATGAAAAAATTATTTACATTATTGCATATGATGAAGGACGCAATTAACATTACATTTTAGTTAAAAATGAAAAACATCTTAATTAACTCTTACAATTCGACTTGAACAATACTTGATATTACAGTTAAAATTTGAATGACTATACCATACATAGGCACATGATTTAAATAGCTATAGTCATTTGCTTGGAAGTATCTTAAAAACTGTTGAAAGAATAAGATGACGTTTAAGTACTGTACAAAGTTTCGTTTCGTTGCAACTCTACCCAAAACACAAATCATTGAGATGATAAAAATGAAAAATGAACAATATGAATGGGTGAGCGTAAAATGTTGATTGAAAACGCTCGTGAATATGTGAGAGATGAAAAAAGCACTTCACTCTGACTCGGAGCCGCTTTCGCTGCCACTACCACTAGCACTGCCACTTCCACTGGCACTACCACTGGCGCTACCGGCTTTGCTCGGAGAACCCGAGCGAGAGCGCGACCTCGAAGGTGACCGACCAGGCGAGCCAGAGCCCGACCTGGAAGCCGAGCGAGAGCGAGAGCGGGACTTTGATAGGGAGCGAGACTGCGAAGAACGTACCGAGCGACTCGAGCGCATGGAGCGCGTAGAGCGAGCTTTCGATAGCGATCGAGACCGAGATCTGGGCTTTGAACCAGACTTGCGGCTCGAAGCCTGAGAGGAAGCCGGTGAGGATGAACGAGATCTCTCTTCTTTATTGACCTTTTCGAGTTTTTCTTTATTCTCGTCCTCCTCATTATCCACGTTCTCTTGCTCTGCCTGCTCGTTATCTTCTCTATCCGATTCTGAAAATAAAGAGACATTTAAAAATGCGATTTAAGTCAAACAAAGTACGAATAATTGCAAACACGGTACCTTTTTCTTCATTTTTAGATTCGGTCTTCTGAGGTCCCAATTCTTCTTCTTCCTCTTCCTCCTCTTCATCCTCCTCACAAGGTGGTTCGAGTTGTTTTTCTCGGTAACGCTGCATACGGAATTCTGTGGCGTTCAATGGCCGATGGCGTACGACAAGCCTTGTGTTGTTAGCTGGTTGTCCGACCTTTTGTCTTCGTTTACTGAGTCTCACACGTGTCTCCAATTCATTGTAATATACCTACACAAAAATTAAACAATTTTTTTTATCCTGTGATTATTATTACACCTTGACAAAGAAAAAAGACTTTCAAGCCATTCTTACCCCCTCTTCCCGCATAATGAGGAAGTAATTCTCTTCGTACCCTTTGGAAGCTTTACTTTTAACATTCCAGTTGTATTCTCTAGCCATTTTATAATCATACTCATCATCTTCAGCATAGTCGATTCCAGAACAAAAATCTCGCTTTCTCTTTTCGAGAGTTTCCTCAAACGGTAAGAAGTAAGCAACAAACTGTTCTCCACTTTCATCCATCACACCACTAAAATAAAAATTTTATCAATTAGTTTCTGTTCTTGTGAGTGAGTATTCATGAAAATAAGTTTTGCTTGATCACGATTACCGAATCATTGCTTGAGACATCTCTTCAATTTGTGCAGGAACCGAGAGTCCCATAGGTGCTGGATCAGAATCAAAAATAACTTGGGCGCAAGGGTACTTCCACAACTACACATTTGGAAAATCCAAAAATTAAAAACTCCATTGTAATATATTTCACAACGAGGTATACCTTGAAATCTGGGAAAACAGGCCAAATTTCTACAGGATGAACGTTAGCTTTGCTGTAGTGTTTTTCAATGGGCTTCTTATTATCTTCAAATGTTTTCTCTATAGCTTTAATTTGTGAATCACGATCCATACACAATGTTTCTTCCTAAATATTTTAATGAATTGTTAAAAATAACAATCATAGTCAAAGATAAACATTAAACTAATAGTAAAAATAAATTGCATTGGTACTACCTTAAAGTGCTTTTTAATATTATGACCAACTTTTGCTTCNCTTATTACGAAAACGCGCACCTGCGTGCAGCTATAAGAGCTAAGCCAAAAATAATACTCTTTTTTTTGTAATGCACTGCAGGACTACTACTAACTACAGTTGATATAACCTAGAAACTTCTATTTGTATATTTTATCTGTCTTTTGTTAATTTTTTATTTTTTTCTTTTTTGGAACAATAATCGAATATAGTGTTTATTGTTGCAAAGTGTAAACAAAACAAAATCTTATAAGCGTGAAAAGTAGAAGTCAATCAGTTATAAGTTTAATAATAATGGTTCAAAAATTCAAAATAATGAATCTAAATAGATAATTTAGTAGACCAATTATTATGCGTAATGTATATAAAAAAAGGTGAATGAAAGTGAAAGTTTGCGCCATGTACATGGTGGCCGTGGATCTTCTGCTCCACCTTTGGATACACAATTTTTTTTTAATGCTGCAATTGATTATTTAATTACTTTTGAGAATATAATTAAAAGTTAGACACAACAGAATGGACATGAAAGATTGTAATTTAAATTTTTCCTAGTAATAAATTATCCTCGTACTGATAAGGAGCCGATCGAGTATCATAATTATACTGTAAGTTGATGCACTCGAACTGACTGACCACATTTTTATCTCTATACACCCTCAATGAGTTTTAATCAATCATGAACCGCAAACTTTCGTTTTACTCAATGTTTTCACTGCTGTGGGTCGAATGAAAGTTTATAAATAAGGCAGGGATGCTATTTATTACTTATCACTTGCATAAAAGAAAAAAAAAAAAAAAAAGTAACACTGCAACAGGCAATCACAACAGAAAATTTTCACCAACACAACACAGAGAAAGCCACTATCGAGGGACGAAAATGAAGCAAGTATATTCACTGGCGTTGGCTCCTAAAATAAAACAGCGAAAAACCTCCACCGGGAGGCCGATAGCCGATACATCCTGATGACCACGATGACGATAAGTAACTATATACCTTTATAGAGTACTCGTCAAAATGTGCGGGCTGGGCCAAACTACATGTCAAAATAGAAAAAAAAGATTGACGAACAAGAGCAAGAGGAGAAGAAAAAAAACAAATAGGGTATTAAAGAAACGCCTTGTTTTCCTTATATGCTTATTGCTTACCCTGCGATGTCCCGCGAGTGCACCTACGTGTACGTACCAAGTTAAGTGCTTGGTGAGTGTGTAAATAATATAAGTACCTTCGGAGCGCCAGGAGTCGCATGTTAGTTAGCTGACCCTCCCCGAGGAAGCTCGTCATCGGCACGACGACGACGACGACGTCGATGACGCTGTTGTCGAAGTGCTTGACATCACATACACTAACTTATAGGCTAGTCTGCCTTGTGCCTGTACGGTACACTGCTTTATGCCGCTCTGGCTCTCTTTGCTCCACGGCCACGCTCCGTTCACTCCCTGTGTCACCCGTCGACCCGTGTCTCACACTTGTTACTTATCTCTCTTTTTCTTTGCACGATTAAACAGTGAATGTATACTTTAAGTTTTAAGAGTATTCTTTATCTTCTTTCTGCGGGTAGTGCGGGTGTGCAGGTTCTTAGTGATTTTATTTGTTGCCGATCTAGGGACTTTAGAGGCGTGAAAACCGCAAAAGCCAAAAACTAAAAATGAGTAGTGTCGTGTCGGTCAAGTCAAATCAGTGTCGGTATCAATTATAGTTATAAAGAAATTTCAGTCGGTCAATCAGGACGATTGTAAAATCAATTTAATTGTTATTGTATTTCCTTCAGTCTAAGTCTAACTGTTATAAATATTACCAATATGCCGATTATCACTCTCCTAATAAACTATCCCAAAGCTTTACCCTGATTAGCGTTTGCTGATGCTGACCATGCACCGATAATTGTATTTATATGAAATTAACCAATTTACATTAAAATCAAACATATTACTTACAGTTGCAAGTTCTATTTTACAAAAATTTTTTATTTATCCCATGAAAAAATTATTTACATTATTGCATATGATGAAGGACGCAATTAACATTACATTTTAGTTAAAAATGAAAAACATCTTAATTAACTCTTACAATTCGACTTGAACAATACTTGATATTACAGTTAAAATTTGAATGACTATACCATACATAGGCACATGATTTAAATAGCTATAGTCATTTGCTTGGAAGTATCTTAAAAACTGTTGAAAGAATAAGATGACGTTTAAGTACTGTACAAAGTTTCGTTTCGTTGCAACTCTACCCAAAACACAAATCATTGAGATGATAAAAATGAAAAATGAACAATATGAATGGGTGAGCGTAAAATGTTGATTGAAAACGCTCGTGAATATGTGAGAGATGAAAAAAGCACTTCACTCTGACTCGGAGCCGCTTTCGCTGCCACTACCACTAGCACTGCCACTTCCACTGGCACTACCACTGGCGCTACCGGCTTTGCTCGGAGAACCCGAGCGAGAGCGCGACCTCGAAGGTGACCGACCAGGCGAGCCAGAGCCCGACCTGGAAGCCGAGCGAGAGCGAGAGCGGGACTTTGATAGGGAGCGAGACTGCGAAGAACGTACCGAGCGACTCGAGCGCATGGAGCGCGTAGAGCGAGCTTTCGATAGCGATCGAGACCGAGATCTGGGCTTTGAACCAGACTTGCGGCTCGAAGCCTGAGAGGAAGCCGGTGAGGATGAACGAGATCTCTCTTCTTTATTGACCTTTTCGAGTTTTTCTTTATTCTCGTCCTCCTCATTATCCACGTTCTCTTGCTCTGCCTGCTCGTTATCTTCTCTATCCGATTCTGAAAATAAAGAGACATTTAAAAATGCGATTTAAGTCAAACAAAGTACGAATAATTGCAAACACGGTACCTTTTTCTTCATTTTTAGATTCGGTCTTCTGAGGTCCCAATTCTTCTTCTTCCTCTTCCTCCTCTTCATCCTCCTCACAAGGTGGTTCGAGTTGTTTTTCTCGGTAACGCTGCATACGGAATTCTGTGGCGTTCAATGGCCGATGGCGTACGACAAGCCTTGTGTTGTTAGCTGGTTGTCCGACCTTTTGTCTTCGTTTACTGAGTCTCACACGTGTCTCCAATTCATTGTAATATACCTACACAAAAATTAAACAATTTTTTTTATCCTGTGATTATTATTACACCTTGACAAAGAAAAAAGACTTTCAAGCCATTCTTACCCCCTCTTCCCGCATAATGAGGAAGTAATTCTCTTCGTACCCTTTGGAAGCTTTACTTTTAACATTCCAGTTGTATTCTCTAGCCATTTTATAATCATACTCATCATCTTCAGCATAGTCGATTCCAGAACAAAAATCTCGCTTTCTCTTTTCGAGAGTTTCCTCAAACGGTAAGAAGTAAGCAACAAACTGTTCTCCACTTTCATCCATCACACCACTAAAATAAAAATGTTATCAATTAGTTTCTATTTTTGTGAGTAAATATTCATGAAAAAAAGTTTTGCTTGATCACGATTATTGTAATGCACTGCAGGACTACTACTAACTACAG